CTTCCCTTGCGACAAGCACAAGAAGGTCGCCGTTCGATACCATAGTGAAGAAGACCTTTGCAGCCAAGTCGCACCAGACAAAAGTTGTGCTGTACTGACTTTTCCAGAACGGTGGTTCCTCGCGTTAGGATGATCACTCAGTCGAACTTGCAAGGTTGAGCAGGAACTTCACCGGGTTTGCTGCTTTCAATGTCCCCTGTACAGTTTCCCCACTTGCAGCCCTGTCCTCTAAAATGTTATGGATGACAGTTGCGATTAATATGTATTACTTACGGAGGAGGGAAATGGTTTGTAGCAGCTCCCGGAAACATCTAGACACACGTCGCTATAGACAACCTGTGAGAGAAGGGCTTTTTTTCAGGTTTACAACCAGAATGCGCTTACCATCTTACAAGTAGTATTAAGGGATACCTAACAGGATGTCCTGCATCTGCATGCCCTGCATGGACTTCATTACTAGATGCATGAGGGCTAGAAGGTATATATTACAATCATTGACAACGGTGCCGAAACTAAGGCATTTGACTTTTACATAGCCAACCCTTCCATCGTTTCCGGGCAAAGAGCAGGCGCGAACGAAAGAAAGAAAATCGCATCAAACCAGCTACCCTAGTTCAATTTCTTCAAAGTAGAATTAGCGCTTATTGTGGGACCACCACCATAAACGGAACGCCAATCAAATGCATTTTTCTTGTAGCAAGTTATTGAATGTCATCTCATCAACTGTCAGTGTAAGCAGAGGCCAGCTACCATCTCGTCCCGGACATGTGCCACTCAGCTGATAAACGCAATACTCTCGGGTCTAGAAAGCGCTTACCACTTTTTATCCAAACTCCTAAGTAAACAATCTCAGAAAAACTTGCTTTGAGTTTGGGACCGAGAAATACTGTGACACTACCGTAATCAAATCAGTTAATTTGAAAGTAGGAAAGGTCTATGAATAGTCGCTAGAAACGGCCAGTCTCTGGATAATTGCAAGTAAAAAAGGATTGGCTACGTTATACTTCTCAGTTCTAGTGTCCCATAGATAGAAAGGACCAAGAAGGGTTTTCAGGGAAGTATACACCAAGTCGATTTACCGATGTTTACGTAAAAATACTTTACCATTATTTTATCAATGTTAATATTAATAGTAATGTTAATGTTATTATTATTTCCAGTATTATTCCTATCAGCTCAGGCAGATTTTGTGAACTGTAAAGTGAGGCACTACCACACACTTATGCTCCAAGATTCAAATGCCGGATCAATACTCGCCCACACCAATCAAGCCTCCTATCCTTTGGGTGTTTAATAGGTAGTAGCAGACTCGCTTGGGAGGATAACATTGTACATCGGAGAGCCATCGCAGATTATTGTGTACGCAACAAGCGCATTCGAACGCCACTAGATTTCGAATGAGAATTGAATGTGTAGGCGCATTCTCAGACGGAACTAATTGACAACAGTAAGGCTTGTCCTTCAACCCTTCGATTTGTACGACTTCCAACAGATGGGTCATCGTGGGCATTTGAAAGAAGCTCAAAATTAGAACTCGACCGAGGGGACCGAATGATAGGCACACAGGCGCTCCCGCTCTGCTGTGCAAGATTTCCACAAATCAACTAATTTCGAGGGATGTGCGAAACGAGAACAAAGTCATTATTGGATACTTAAAAAACGGGTTTTCTAGCAAATGACCATCCACGTACTTTTATTCAACAATTTTCAAATTCATGGCTTTCAAACGTGCAGAAGACGTTCCTGGAAGTACGAGTATCCTCTATCTCCTAATTTTTGTTGCTCACTGCAGACGGAAAATCAAATGCACACATAAAACATGAAAGTGCAAAGTTTTTTGCATTGACCCATCTCTCTCGGGGATGTTCCCACGCTCTTAACATTTACTCAGAATCGTGATGAAGTTTGAATACGTACACGTGGCCTAAACAACGAATTGTGGAGGCCTACCGCTAGATAACTGAATGGTTTACCCTCCCAGATGGATTGATACCAATTCATTAGCCTCGTAGGTATGAAAGATTGGATGGCCTGAGCAGTTGTTGAGCAGGGATCTGCTCTTGGACCATCCTAGCCGGTGGCAGCTTCACTTGGCATTACGCCAGTTCCCTCTGAGAACTGGCGAAATGCTCAGCGGTACTACTGAACCATTACAGCTGAATAATAGGATTTTGGTGATGTAAAGTATGAAAACACAGTGATTAATGATGCGAAGTAGACGATATGATGATGCAAAACCCATGATGGATGTAAGGCGATTGAACGTGCCGACCCCAATGAAAGACAACGAGTCTCTAAGGAATTCCAGCCAAAAACCTTCGATAACACCCTCAACGTCCAAGGAACTTCAGGGACAGGAACTGGGAACTCAATACTCATGAGTTTACACTTTACTTTTGGTACAGTGGATTAGTGAAAAGCTATGAAAGTACTCCACAATCTCCAAGCGAATTCTCTGCCCGCGTATATGCCAAGAAGAAAATAAAAATCGAGATAGTGAAGTACCTGGGCTTCAGCAATGTCGCTCGAGGATGCGTCATGCCCTCGATCACCACACTGAATCCGTTTGACTATGTATTTGCTAATACAGTGACTTGCAGTGGTCAACTCCAAAGCAAGTCCAATGTTTAGCCTTCCCACCCAAGCCTGACACTAAATAAACGATCCTGGAGAAATTCAAGGGTTAGTTGGACTGAATGAGTATCCCTACCCGGTGCAAGCCTCTAGAAGGAGAGCTGCTGGTACTCTCTTACCTCCGCTGAAAAAGAGGATAATGTTAAATTTAACCAAAGCCCGGACCAATTGTGACCAGCTTTTCACCTTAAGCAGTTGTTTGCCTTTTATGGCGTGTTGGTTTGATTTTCTGTAGCGGGCCCAAGACCAGTTCCTAATGAAAACTATAATTATTGATTGAAAGCGCTGGTCATGCTCAGCCACTTGAATCTGATTACCTACATTTGGGTTCACACCAGTTCCAAAAAGCCGAAAGAGTAAGCTTTTATAAAAGGAGAAATTGAATGAGTGGGATTAGCTGAGCATGTCTAACACTTTCAATCAATGATTATGATTTTTATGCGACCAACCAATCTTCTTTTATTGGTTCTAAAAAAACCATAACTATAAAATACACAGCAGATTTCATAATCGAACATTTTTTATTTTCTTGTTTTTTATTTGAGTATTTATCTATTTTTCATTTTTCTTTTTTCTCAATGTAATCAATTTCAATTTGTATTTACTCAAATCCAGCCTCGGACGAAACACTTCGCCTGTACACTGAATTGTTGTCTGGTTACGAAAAGGACGTCCGTCCCGCATTGCAACACGATACCCCCATCAACGTCACCTTCGTCTTCATGCTTACGCAGATTATCGACGTGGTAAGTGAGTCATGTTGCAGTTGACATTTGATCCCATATATCACTGGGAAAGTGCGACATGAGATCCTGGCCTCGTTCAAAGCTCGCCAGGCGATCGCGGGGTATGGGAACTAAAGTAAATCATGTGTATTGATCGATTGGACACCATCAGCCAGTGCGACAGTGCGAGCGCCCAATACCCTCCTGAATTTAACTTGGAACCGCTCAAATTAAGTTCTATCGGTTCTGACCAGGAAATATGCCTAGCTTTGGGATACTCTCAGATATACTAATCTGTCAAACTGGTATTCAGGACGAACGCAATCAAATCCTCACCACAAACGCATGGTTACATCAGTACTGGACCGATTACAAGTTGGTGTGGGACCCTCGGAAGTACGGCAATCTTACACGGATTCACATCCCACACGAAAGGATCTGGCGACCCGACGTTGTGCTCTACAACAAGTACGTTTCGGTTGTTCCACAGTCATTTATCCACCCAAGATTGATCAGTACCCTATCTCTAGTATAAAGTTAAAGAGTTTGACAGTAATATTTTTCACTGAAAATTTTCTTTTGATTTTCCGTTTCCATGCACTGGGAATTCTCAAGCCTCTATATTTAAAACAAATTGCCAGAGAAAAAGGGTCAAACCAGCAATTTAAGTTCAAACACTCGACGTTTTTGCGCAGCCACAGATAGGTTGCAGTCAGTTGACTCCGTCCGACCGGAGGAGTTATTCACTTTTAGCACAGCCCGCTCCTCTGATCTGGCCCGAGTTTTTCGTCGAAATCAATCTCGAGCGTTCTTCATTTGCTTATCGTCGCTTTCCCATACAGGTGAAAGCTCTGATGATTAAGGCTAAGGCTAGAGGAAGAGATGCTCGGACAGAAAAAAAGTTCGCTGGGCAATTACTCTTGCGCGTTCGACTTTGACTGACTTTTCAGGACATAGCAATCAGGAACAAGATGAACTGCCTTATCCCAGTCACTTCACGAATTGCAAATAGACGAGCTCAGAAAAAAGAGCAGCAAAGTGCGAAAGGAAAACAAGTGGGGCTCTTCAGAGTGAGAAGAGTCATCATTCAGCCAAAGAAACAAAAGCAACATTCACAGTGCACGGCTACTGAAGCCAAAGAGTTACGTCGGATGATACCTTCTTTTTCGTGAGCAAGAAACTGCTCCCTAGTTCACTAGGCCGTCCTGAGGTTTAGGTCAAAAACACATAAGTTCTGCGACTACGAAAGCCAATGGAAGCGAATGAGCGGTCATGCCTGAACATGAAATGAGCAAACGGAGCTGAGATTCCAAGGAAATTCAAGGAACTCAGTCTGTGCACGCATCGGAAAAGTAAAGCGATGGGCTTCGAAGTCTTGTACAAGGAACTCGTAAGAGTGACGAGCTTCAAGCACAAGCTGGACTATCGCCAACGCCTTGCAATGGTGTCTCAGACAGGAGGAGGTGACTTAAGTGAGCAATACCTCGACTGACAGCGGGAGACGCTATAGGAAGATGGCTCTTCAGAGCTTTCAGGAACAGGCATGGCGTTCATCCAGCTGTCCTTTTTCGATCAGTACTCTATTTCATGGCACACCGGGTTCTTCAAAAGTCAAAGACGGCTAAAGAGCAATGTCGTCCTCCTTAACCACCTAAAAACGAAGGGGAACTGGATCGCTTCCGCCGACTATTCTGAATGTGTCAATGCTAAGGAACAGCAACCTAGACATCCGCGAGAGCAGCTTTACTTTTCGATTTCGGCTCCACATGAAGATTGCTTCCCAACTCATGCCGATCAAAGACTGTTCATGAAAACAGAACCTAACAAGACGGTTTTTTGCATGAAGTGCTATAAATCATGAGATTTTGCTACTTCTCAGGTTTTGTTTTTGGGTCTGGGTATCAATCAACATCAGTCCTTGCACTCCTGAACCCACTAATCGTACATCATGTCATCGCGGATGAATGAGACCTTTGGGAATCAAAAACCAACCTGAAACCTTTTATCACTCTTTGGCCAATCGCTTTCAATGCTATCCATCATCCCATCCCACGCCTAAAGGATAGATTCTGATCGGAGCCCTTGGTGGATACGCTTCATTACAGACAACTGCCTAGCCAGCATAATCAGCAACATTTGAATAGAGACGTCGATCAGACGTGACGCTTCATGAAAACATCCACCATCGTCGCATCAATTTAACGGAGCCACCGGCACGGGGTGGGGGCATGAATTTAATTTCATGCCTACGCCCGTAGTGTATTAAAATTCGAGGGTTGTTGTTGCCATATGACGCCCCGTCGGCACTAGAAGTCAGAAGGAATGTGCGGAAAGGGACCAAATAGAGGTGGTGCAAATGAAAGAAGACCTGAAAAGGTAAAGTGCTAGGTATAAGCCACAACGGGAAAGTTCCCGTCCTCTCAATCAAATCCTATGTGAATAAGATGAGAAAGGAATGACAAGCTCGTTGAGCTGGATGGGATACGACCATACATCTCACTTAAATTTAGAGACTAGTTGAATATGAAAGGGTTGTCGGTCTATACAAGCTCTTGGGCTGAACAACGATTTGCGGAGCTAACCAATTCAGAAGTCAGTGCCTCTCTTTTTCCAGACGAGTCTGGAACCAGCGAAAGGTACAGTTTACGACCAACATGGTTTCCGAGGTATCTACTTTGGAACCCCAAGTAGAACACTGCTGAATCGAAAAGCGGACTGGATAGGGCGCAATGAGAGCTCGAAGATTGTATCCACTATGAACCTTTCTCAGAGGTGGCCGAGTTTTAAAAATTCTGAAGATGTTGCACCATTCACAATGGAGCGCACATGTTGGAAATTTAGGCAACTAGTCGGGACCCATTGCGACGAAGGAAGTCAATTTTCAACATTTGCAGCTCACCGTAGTTAGCTCTACGGCACTAAACTGAGAACTCGCTCGAATATCCCTTCCAAGGCACTTCTGTCATCACAATCTCATACAAAAAATCTTCCTTTGTTAAGACTTTTTATGGCTTTTTTCTTGAAATATGCCGATTGTCCCGCTTTTTTCGCCAGCTCTACACTATTATTCAACGTAATTGAAACAAGAAAACATTCAGCGCCGATTCTCAATATACAAAATCGGTGATGTCCACCGACGTTGTCGTCGATTACCTTGGTAATGTCAGTTGGGCGGCAGCTGCTATTTTCAAGTGAGTTGTTTATAAAATAAATTGGATCAGAATATACTTAAGTGTTTTTCTGGCACCCTTCAATAGAAAGCAAGAAGGTCACCTACAGAGGTCTATTCATTCGCGAACACCGTTGAAATTATCGAGATCTGGCGGCGATCCTCAAAAACCGACTCAATTTTGGTAAATGATGGGTGAAGGATCGAAAAAACGCCTTTTGACGTTGCTTCCAACCCCAATTCTAATTCAGAAGTTCATTCTAATGCAGTCGGGTCACATCCGAAAAATTGCGAAGCTGCTCTAACTTGCAAATTTTCCGACGAAACCCGCTGGCATTAGAATAGACATGATTTTTAAAGAAAATCGGACATCAGTAAAGCTTTTTCCCTAGAAAGTTTTCCGAGCTTTCTTAACATGAGATCTTCCTTTACTCTTTCTTGAAAGATGGATATATGAAATCACAATACAGCTGACTGAACAATTTTTTTGCCTACCCTCTTTTNTTTACAGCGCACCTCTCCATCTTTGATTGGGAATGAAAGGTATTGAAGTACTAAGCTGAGCTCTGCAACTGGTTAAGGCTCAAAATAGATTGGAAAACAAAGTCAGGCTAATCTTGGCCACCATTCCTCTCTCAATTTTTTCGCTGTGCCCATGGCTTCTGTGCCAATCGGCATTAGCGCGGTTGTGGGAAATTCCATTCAAAGATGAAACTGATACGGCTAAGTGACTCGTCACCCAAGGGAAAAAAACTGGAGAGATCGCCCGTAACCCACGCAAAGCAAGTATGCCGTTTTTTTAATGAGTCCAGGAAATGAGTAGCGCAGGAAAAAAGTAGCTCAGATGCACACCAAACCAGCAATTTCACCTGTTCCCATCGATAGTGCAAATACCGTGGAGAAGTACCAATAGTTAATATGCGATCTATGTCTCCACCCCGGCACAATCACGTCCATTTGTGGGCGGGGTCGTCTCTTAGAACTGTTTTCGGAGTCCGTCCAAGTCGCCTCTGGGTTTTATATGGCACCTTTTTGACGACGTATACAATAAAGGTACGTATCACCTCAGCTTCGATAAATAATTATTAATGGCTCAGATCATCCTGTCCACTGGACGTCAAGCATTATCCGTTTGATCGTCAAACTTGCACATTAAACTATGCGAGTTGGGCGTATGACGGAACGAAAATCGACTTATTGCTCAATTCGGAAAGAGGTATCGGCCGATATTGATCGGAAAAAATCCTTCAAAATGCTGTCGTTTACAGGTGACCAGAGCAACTACATGATGAGTACCGAATGGAATCTTCTACGAATAACGTAAGTCGTTCGATTACTGATGGTGGAAGGCAATCGATCAGAGGTCATCGATTATTCCCTTAATGTTATTGATCGATTTCAGAGCAGAAAAGAACTCGGTCATCTATAGTTGCTGTCCAGATGCACCGTATCCATTCGTGAATATTCATATCAGTATCGAACGAAGGCCAATGTTTTACGTGAGTTTCCTATAAGACCACCCAGACAGGATCAACGAGAAAACGTCGAGCAAAACACGAAATCACAATGGCCCATGCGTAGAAGGCCCCTGGATGAAGTGTATTGAAACCGTTTCCCAGAGGCTGGTCGCCAGGACTTTACCAGCGAGGACCGTATCTAGGCACCCTCTGGTCAGTTGAGAGAGCAGCCTCCAGTGATCACCTGAAGTCCTCCTGTCCCCATGATTGTCGCTTTGGCGAGTAAGGACATATTTTTGGCAGCGAAACGAAACCATATTGAGGCTTGGATGAGTTCCAAGCATTTTTCGAGATCAAGACGGTCGTATCCCCCGTGGATACTCTCCCCCAACCAATACCCCTCCTCCCTTTTCTCGTTCAAATTTTTCCAAAGGCTTCCCAAACCCAAAAATCGGCGGGAGGGAAAACTGTAATAAATTTTTCTTTGTTTGTCTGATCCTACTCAGATACCGTATACCAATCAATACGTCAATAAATATTTAAGGTGTTCAATTTGATACTTCCATGTGTGCTGATTAGTGGTATAGCTCTTCTAGGTTTTTATATGCCATCTGATTCTGGCGAAAAAGTCACCTTAGGTAGGCGGCGCTTTTTTTGAAGAATTCACAAAAATCATGAACCAATCGATAATTTTCAAGGTATCACTTCACTTCTTTCTACTACGGTATTTTTGATGTTAGTCGCCGAAGGTATGCCCCCTACATCAGAAGCTCTACCGTTAATAGGTAAGATCAAATGAGTTGGCTAGACGGCAGAAATTAAGGCGTTCCTCTGCGTCTCTGCCTCTCCCGTTTTTCAATTGTGTTCTTCAGGTCTCTATTACGGTGTCACAATATTCCTCGTTGCTCTTGCTACTGCAATGACAGTGCTTACGGTAGGTCATTGCAGATGCCGTCCAGAAAGTATTCAGCAATCAATAATTGATTTTTCAGCTGAACGTTCACCATCAAGGTGTGCACGGTGGCGAAGTACCCAGATTTCTACAACAAATTGCATTTAAATTTCTTGCACGAATACTTTTCGTACGAATCGATCCGTACCACTCAATTACCCATCATGTACGGTACATCTACCAGGTCTGTGTCTGTACTTACGGATCGAACTCTTTCCTTAACCATCGACACTTCTGGAATTCAGCGTGATCGACCGGATAGTGCACGGAATTCGGAATGCTACAAAAGCCCTGCATATCAGACATCGTCGCCAGAAATTCGAATGAAACAGCGATATAGCAGCCCGACCAAACCTCGCATACCTCTTTATGACAGTCCACAGAAAGCACGGAAGGTAAGTAGCCCAAATACGATCTGCATGGCTTTTCAGTAGAGCCCAAACAACACGTCTACCTTCCAAAGGAGTGTAATCGAGAAGAAGAATTAGGAAAAAGGTTTCATGAACCTGGAAATGAGCATGATGGGGGAGATGAGAAGAAACAGAAGTTGAGGTCATACCATGAGGGGCACCACAGATTTTTTCACTCCTCCTTTCGGCTTTCAATTTTTGATGTCGAATAGAAAAGAGTCAAAAATTTCATTTTGAGTGGCATAATAGCTGTTACTTAGAGAAACGGTGGTAGCGCAGTGGAATTTAACGCACCATCTCTTACGTACGGTCACGGGTTCGGATTTTATCGGATCCGTCCTTTAAACCAAACCTACTATCCCTCCGGTACCAGCTAAATGGTGCCGGATTCGTCTGGGAGAATAAAAACCCTCACTCATGCGTAGACCGGCGTCTAGAAGTCATTGTATAGCTACCCACATACCCATTCAAATCGCCACACAATCATGAATGGAGAACAGATGCGATTTGGGCTCTTTCATCCTGCGGGAAACTTCTTCAGAAATGATGTGATTATGACGTTGCTTCCAGGAGATACGGAAACATTCTATCGTAAAAAAGCAAATATGGAGATAGAAAGGCGCTGAATTTAGTGCGAACGGAAATAAAATCTACACTTGAAAAGCGCAATTGGCTACGACCAGATGTTCTGATTGCACAACTACAGAATGAAAGTGTTCAGTAGTATGTCAAAGGCGAAAACAACCAAGAAAATAAAGCAAACAAAAATTTTGGCCCCCACGTGAACGTAGATTTTCAAAATTTCGCAAGCCATGTAGGGTACAGCAGCCCTCTGTTCTCCATGCAGTCCACTCCCCCGGAGACTGTTGGCACGCCCATGGACTAGTTTTCTTGACAGAGTGACGGGGTTTGGGGCAAATTTTTAGTGCTTACTGCTCCCTTTTTGGATCGTTTTTATGACACGACAATGGGAGATGGGCGTTAGGAACCATTTTGGGTAATCGATTTGCCGCACGCGGCTGTCGCGGACCACTCATTCGCCGTTATTACAGCTCTAGCGTTCTTCATACAGCTCAATCGATATGCGATCATTATTTTATGCATAATTCTACTATTAGTACTTTTGCTCTTGTATTTCTTACCTACTGCTGCATTCTGCTACATTCCTTCGCGCGCGACGCCCCTCTCACCGCGACGCGATCATTTCGTTCCTAACGCACTACACCCCACGACAATGCATTCCTAGTCCTGATTCTATTCCATCAGCGACCTGCACAATCATTATTATCTCGAATCGACAGAAAAAAGGCTGATTCTAACTAAGCATCGGATTCCAATCTATACACTTGCAGAGGCCCCTCGACCATATACAATCGACGTTTCGGCGACTCACGGAGAATAATGTAAAAATTCATGGATAATATGCTTCTGTTACTTTACTTGGGTTTGCTTGATGTGTTTCTGCCATGGATGCACCCTTTTTAATACAAAGCATGACTTCTATCGCTTTAAAACAACTGTTGCTTCAGATTGCTTCACTCTACTCCCACATATGTAGAGGAGATGTGTGTATTATAAAAGCGACAGTTTTCGTCTAAAAGGCTCTTAAAAAAGGTTCACGACTGACCAAACACCGTTCAGCCTTCCCCACATCCTCAACGTGATTTTCTCAGTTTCCTACCACCTGAGCAGCTCTATGAACTACTGATCCATTAGGTCATAGACATTTAAGTATGAGCCAAAAGGTGCCACGAGATCGTTCTGCCAAAACTAGGTTTCCGTGCGGTAACACACTCATCCTGACACAGTCGTGAAACCCCTCAGCAAGAATTCGGAGAGACGCTTCTATGTAGCCCATTCTCTTTGGAAATGGTATGAAAATAAAGGGAAAGATAATCTCAGAACCACTTGTGATCGTCAAGCCGTGTATTAATTGCGTTATAATGGACGTAATAGCGTCTCCTACACTCAAAGCGATCACTCCGTGACTGTCTAGTAGGAAGAGCACAGCTGAAGTGATATTATCAGATTGCTTCACCCTATCCTCCTACCACCATCCCGATTTGCAGTGTTTTGAATGTCGTGTCGATCCTATCACCCGATTCAACGCCGTGTTGTGCTTTTTCTGCGGGCATCGATCCCCAAACATGTGAGAAGTTTCTGACAACTATCATTTAGGTATCTTTTGCACCACAAGTACACATGATGAAAGAGACGCCATTAACGTCGTCTGTACCATTGATGAGGCGCCGCCAAGCGTGTGAACCACCGGTGGAAGCGGATAAGCTCGACGACTTTGAGAGTGAATTCTTACGAGTGCTTGATCTAGTCCACGCTACCATTGAACGTAATGAGATGCGGGTTGCTGAACGTGATCGGCGTGACGCCACGCAACTAGAATGGCAACAGGTACGACTATTAGTCATTATCAACAAAATATGTTGGGTCGTCTGGGCTACCAACAAATTTTGGGTCAGCACTTGAAGACTACACATAAAGGGTCCATATTCACGGAGAGGGGGGTCTGAAAGACATGCCAAGCTATGCGGCGCCATAACTAAACGTTTGATTCAGAAGTCATGGCTCTATCGAGAAAAAGCCACTGCAATTTGGTTTTTCCGTAAGTAGTTCAAGCCCGATTTGCTTTTGCAGTTGCTTTCGCCGGCATACAAATCTTAAGACTTAGAAAAGAAGTCAAATTCGTAGCATCATGTAGGAATGTTTATAAACCTTTTATAGGCCTAATTACGCTTGTATAGACCAAACACTGTACACAGCAATATATAGAATAAGTAAATAAACAAATAAATAAATAAAACTCATAAGCTGTAAGACATACCTATCCATTCAGGTCGCCATGGTACTCGATCGATTTCTGCTCATCGTCTTTCTGATTGGTACAGCTCTCTCGTCATTTCTGATACTATACCAACGAGACATTATCGAATGAGCCTCACGCTTACAATCGAGGGGAGGAGCACAACGTGCTAAACTCCGTCCACTTGATCAACAACAAAATTGTCCTCCTGGAAAGCTAACTTACCACATACCAGCATTCCATGATATATGTTTGATAGAGATTTATATTTAGCCTCATTTATGCTCTCTTCGTGAGAGTTTCCTTTCATATGTTCCAAAAGTGCTAATTTTATCGATTTATACGGGTTTACATCATATTAACGGATAAATATTGTGAATTAATTTTATTACAGCATATCACAACTGATTACTGATAACATTTTGACATTACTTGCTTTCCGAAATCACCCGAAAGCTGATCGAATATTGTGACAACACTTAAATTGAATCGAACAAAATCTACAACAGCGAATTGAAACTTGTTAATAGGGAAAGCGTTCGACTACGACCTTAATTAATATGGTGCAGGAGGTACGAGCGACGTGAACAAGCAACCCACTCCTTAAATACCACAATAAGAGGGCGAAACCAGTGTTAGTCAATAGAACAGTCGAGTCACTACCATATCACCGCAATAGTTACGAATGCCTGCATGTGAGTTTTGATTCGCAACCACCTCCACGAATGCCGTGTACGGTGGCTGAGACAAGCTAGAAAACCCCCAGCTTCTACACTTGAGGTTAATGGAGATGAGTTGCTCATCAAACAGAGTGAGGTAAGACCAAGATAAAGCAGCCATCAAAACAGGTGTAAGCTACAAAGTATTAAAACTGTTACATTTCGAAAAATATTTCTGAGGCAAAGATTCCCGACTGGATGTAACAACCACATGACCTCGAAGACTATGTGTCAGCCTTTTCAAACGCCATAGAAACACTATTGATACAATATCGTTCACCGGTCTCCTTGGGACCGTCGTCGAACACATGACCGAGATGAGCGTTGCACTGAAATTCTCATCATCGGTACCTTTCAACCCAAAAATGATTAAGGATACAAGTTTCATTCAAAGCCTTACTCTCTTTGGGCCATTACCCATTTAGTCTTCACAGGCCCTCTTAATTTTACTACAACTTCTGAGATGATTCCCCTGGAATTTAATCCCATTCGCTCACTCATTTTATCCCACCATTTGTTGGCGAAGAGCTTTCGAAAGATTTGGGGGGTTTGTAAGAGCTAGAGGCGTAGTGGTCTATCCAATCACTTTACTATTGGTGACAAACATCAGTATGTTAGCGGCCCAAGAAGATCAACTACGGAGAGAAGCTTGATCCCCGGATGTTGATGCCATCGAAGAGAAAACAGTCCAGAAAAAAATAATTGTACCTAGAGATCAGCTAAGTGCAGATTATCAAAAAGTAAACTTTGGAGAAGTGTTAAAGTATTTACTATTTGTCAAAATGGAATATTAAGCTTAAGGTCTTCAGGTGGGCAGAAATAGAATTAAGCACAGTGAACTGATAGAATAAAAGAGAGTGGCTCTCCAAAATAACGCTGATAAATTTATAATAGATTTAATGCGTATCATATGATTGGAAGTGATAAGAAAGAGGAATACCTCACATCAAGTTAGATTCAAAATAAGTCATAAATAAGAATTATCTCCAAAAACTCACTTGTTTACAACGAACTTCAACCCGCTTCATACCCATTGAATTATCTTCCAGTCGAATGATATTCATGTCATTATCAATGGATTTCGAAAATGCTGGCCAGCCACATCCAGACCAATATTTCGAGTCCGAACTGAAAAATTCATATAATTGTCGAGGGCACGTTAACGAGTAAGCGAAGAGAAAGAAATAGATGAAAACTTGCTTAAACAACTCGGCACCGCAACAGAGGCACACGTATCTCCCTTTCTCGAAAAACTTGTCGAAGGCTCCAGAAAATGGACGTTCCGTGCCTGAACGGAAATGGGTTGTAGACCAATGTTACAAGCGCAGCAAAGTGGACAGTGGCAATGCGCGGTCGCGAAGAAGACTAATTCCTGATTCATGTGTCGTGCTCACTAGTGAAATGTGCTCACTAGTGAAATGTGTCCCAAATTCTGCCACAAAGGTACTTCTACGTTACGTCTACATTAATACAAAAACATTTTAGTCACACATACTGTAAATGACTTGCACATACGGTAAATAGCAACATCAGAAACGTAGTTTTAGAGAAAGCGTATAAAAGTAACTAATAACTGGTCAAAAAAGACTTACCCGAGTTACGAGCTACTTCAAATGCCTCAGCAGGAAGAACCTTTTTCCACTCGGACTCAGATACTTGTTTGGGATTTTTGACATCTCCAAGCTTTTTTATCCCGATGTCATTGGGACCTTGAACACTTGGTATTATTGAGCAGATGCTAGAAGCTATGAGGCTTAATAAAGGTACGAACGTAGAAATAACCAACCAAAGCTGGATGAAGACATGCTCCTCGATACGTTCCCAATGATTGCAAGCGAGGTTCTCCTACAGAATAACAGTTGACGGGAGCAACGCGATAACATAATTTTGCACTGATAGAAAACAATAAAAGCGAAAGTCGAATAAGCGATACGGTACGATCAAAAGCACGGCGAAACACTTTGACTGAATTGTTATCGAGAGGTACGGTTAATGCAGTTTCGGAGGAGTTTTGATAACAATATGACCACCTGCAGAGGCCGTTTATGAAACAGCTGCCTTTAGAGGTCCACAACTTCCCAGTAGTTGATATGAAAAGAAATTGTGATGACAATTGAGCATTGACATAAGAGAACATAAACAAAAGGACAGTCTCAGCACCACTGCCGGTTTTATTTTCGTATATGAGTTGCAAACAATCACCATGTCGTCGCCTACAGAAGCGATCTCCTTTCACTATCTTGTAGCCTCACCGTCTGAGACGACTCCCTGACCTAACCCACGCCTCTAAATGGTGCGGGTCAAGCGGACCCAAGGTTAGAAGGCCCCCACGTGTTTCCTCAAACAACGTCAAGGGCAAAACGTGGGTTGTACATGTGATAAAGATTAATCACTCTTGTTCTTCATTGTGGGCGGAGGTAATGTAAGGGCAAGTGACGCACTTCACACATGCATGGTCCTGTGTTCGAATCCCGGATCGATATCCGTCTAGGTCAACCAAGCCTTCCATCCCTCCGGGATCGTTAATTGGTACCAGACTCGTCTGGGAGGATAAAAGCACTGACTGATCACTCTACCATCTGTTTCATTCGTGGATAGTAGGCGAAAGAGCATTCTCCTTGAGACAATCGCTTTCCTCATACAAGAGATTTTTGAATTGTTATAGCCTTGCTCAAGCCTCGGTTTATTTATTACCAGTTTGGCTATGCACGCTAACGCGCGCAGTATATGTCGACGGCCACTTATCCACGATGGAGTCATTCAGCGGTATGTTGGATAATCAGTATAAGATAGTTCTCTCTAGATTCGAACGCTGAACTGCTTAGAGCATCACGATCGATATATTTGAGCAGAGTTATTAGTGGTTGATCATAGCTCCGTCCACCTTAGTGCAAACCCTTTCCACAATAAACTTGACCACCCTTCTTTTGACTGCTCCAAACCATTTTTTCCGCATTCCAGAAAGTTTTTGAAGAGATGAGTTTTTGGTCCTAGCCCCGCTTCCATGTGCCAGCTCTGCTTCCTTCGAGGACTCAACTGCATTTGTTCCAATTCCTCCTACCACTTTATTCCTGCGTTCTAGAACGTTTCTGAACAGAGTTATGAAATTTTGGTCTAAGCCCGCCCNNCACTTTTTTCCCGCTCTCTAGAACGTTTCTGAATAGAGTTATAAATTTTGATCTAAGCCCCGCCCACGTGGGTGCCAACCCCGCCCACTTTCGGTATTTGACCTCATTTGTTCTTTTACACCTTGACACCTTTTTTCCGCATCCCAGAAAGTTTCCGAACGAAGTTACACTCATTTTTGAAAAGTAGCTTTCACCTCAACGCACGCCCCGCCCCTCGTGGGCGGGACTTCGCTATACTTATGCGTGCTCAGCACGCATAAGGCCTCGCTCACCCTTTTCATTTTTTTCCTGGCCTCGACGCCTTCGTTAAATCGAGTTATGATTCTCTGTGGGAAGTACCGCCCACTGCGAGAACGCTCCGCCCACCGCCGGTAAGTTTCCTTTATTTTGATTGCTGACCCATCCCTCCCCTTTGCACATTTTTTCCCGGTGTCTGGAATGTTATGAGACCGAATTAGAAGAATTCGCCCATGACCCCGCCCAATTCCGGTGCATGCCCCGCCCCTTGGGGGCGGGGCTCCGCTAGGCTCATGTGTGCTCTGTTGCACCTACCCTATGCTCAACCCGTTCCAAACTTGACCCGACTTCTCCAGGTGCTTCTTCACGTTATATCGAATTTCCGTACAAACAAACAAACAAACAGACAGACAGACAGACAGACAGACAGACAGAAAGACAGACAGACAGACAGCGTTTTATATATAGTAAGGATACACCCAGGGGTGCGCCACCGGCGCCAAAAACCTTAAAACTTATTCTCCGCTGTAGTAATGCCCGAAGTAACATTCTATTTGTTGAATCCTTCGCTCCGTTAATGCCGGAGTCATAAAAACCCACTGAACCGCCCATACGCACCAATTTAAAACGCACAAAAAGTTATGAATGAAGGTCAAACTGTTTAAGAAGGGCTAACTTGCGAGTTACACGAATCCTTGATTATCCCAGAAATGTTTAAAATCTCAATTAAAATATTTGATAGAAGGATCGAATGTATGGGAAACGGAGAAAATGGAATTTTTGGCGCTAGCCAGCATACTGATAACTTCTGAGAGATAGAAAATGACATCTAAAATTCAAGTCACTACACTGAGAATGGTATTTGATCGCAAAAGTAAAACCGAAGATGTTCCTCCAGAACAGATGACGATTATATTAACGACCTTCGACACCTGTATCTCACATAGGACACGACGACCAGCCTAGAGCAGCGGGGTTTGCGAATGACAAATAGAATACTATGGAAAAGACGTACATTGAGCAGAAAAAAGTCCCACACCAAAACAGGCAGTACAAAAACAGTCAACCCGCAGAACGTTTTCGGTGACAAATCAAACTTGTCTGCAACATCTCGTAAGAAAAATTATTTGTTACGCGCTCTTGCGTACATGAAGTTTTTGGTGGCTTGTTGTTGGTAACAGCGAAAGCGGAGGTCAACAAGCTCATTCTTTTGTTGTTCTCATGGTTAATGTGTTTCTTCGAAGTTTTTTTTTTTGATTTTTCCTTCTCTCAGTTATCTTGCACCATATTACGCAGTTCGAAGTTATCGGTTTTCTTTTGCCAGAAATTAGTCTTGTTTGGTGCTCTTTAGGGGAGTCTTCTTTTGCAGATAGAACTGCTTGCTAGCCACTGAAAGACAGAAGAGTTCATTACGTCAGCAGTTATGGAAACAGGGTGAGTTCATTTGTGTATGGTTTTACTTTTGTTGTGTTGTTCTTACGCTTTTATCTGTCTGTGTCCGAAATCCGCTGCTTAACGGGTCTCTTTCGCGTAAGGAACCGTAAGCGGAGCTCTTTGTTTGGTCTCGTTACTATTTGATTGGCCAATTTCGTTTGCTGTATTTTCTTAAGCCTCCTAAATGAAGAGCAGTTGACAGAAAAATTTTAATTTAACTTTTTTGTGTTGTTGAAGAATAGCAGCTTTTCATGCCCACTGCAAAGTTTCTCTTCTAGCAATCTTCGTAATGAAGACTTCCGAAAGTTACTGACTGCACCGAAGAAGGTGCTACCTGAGGGATCTGGATCAGGTGGTGCTTCACATTCATTCACACACAGACATCAAGCAAAGCCCGAGAAGAAGAAAGGAGGAGGAGGTCATAAGCATAAAAAGGTATGGGCTGATTTCCTTTTTTTGTTTTCACTTTCCTTTCCAGTTGAGGACTCAAATCTTTTGATTAGTCCATTTTTTGCCATCAGCTTTACTAACATAACTCACATTTACGCTTGCAAAACCAAAAACATTGATATCAAAAATAAGTATAATTGGTTCAGGAGAAAATCGAGAGCAACGAAGATGAAGCTAATCTCAAAGAAATTCTCAAAAATTATCGCGATCGAGCCCTCGAACGGCGTCTGAAAGGAAATGATGTTCGTTTTTTTATTAATCTTTTGTAAAGGTCTTCCATGCTGTTCATGAATTTCTCAGTTTAAATTTTTGCAGATGGTTCCTCGTGAACTAGAAATTTCAATCTTAGAAATGTTCATAAAGGTTGCTAAAAATAGGTATTTGGTGAAATTTTCTTTCTAGGATAACGACGAAATTGTGAAGTTGGCAGCGGCATATCGTGCTATGCCTGGAGATGCACGTGCAGTTACAGATAAAGCGAATCTCAGAAGACAAGCCATTGAGGTTAGTGGACTAGTCACCGATTGTACTAAGCTAACATAAGCTTCCCACATTTCCAGGTTGCAGGTTTCGAAACTTTTTCAATTGTTCGAGTTTCAAATATGTGTTGTATCCGTTTATAGGAGTCCAAATATCTTGGTGGTGACATGGAACACACTCACTTGGTAAAAGGTCTCGATTATTCGCTGCTTAATAAAGTCCGAAGTGAAATCAACAAATCGCAAACGGAAGTTGACACAGTGGATGAACTTGAACTTGCATTTGTAAGTTATTCCTTGAATTGCTATGCTTTTTCTTGACGTATTTTTGCAATTCAAAATGTGCACCCTTTTCTTAATTCACATTCAAGTTTGTTTGGGTAGTAGAAAATAGGAATGACGAGAATTATGCTGAATTTAGCATGCCTCTTGACTTTTGTCATGCTTTTGTCATATTTTTTCTCGCTTATGTCTGAAAAACATGGGTAGCGCCTTGTACTGAATTTTACTTTTGAAGCTTGTTTGTATGTATGTTTTGTAAGTAGAAATGATTATATCGCAGCCGCCACATCTGATTTTTCAGGATCAGAAGGGAGTGGACGCTGTGGAGAAGATGTCAGACAATCGGATGGTCCGCGGCATACACCGTATTCTGTTCAAAAATGAGTTACCACTTCGAAATGAGTTGTTCGGAAAAGGACGTATGGCATACGTGGTTGACATGGAAGACGAAGAGGCTGATATTCCCACTACGTTGCTCAGGTAAAGAGGGCATCAAAAAGTTTCATAGTGAGCTTGAAAAAGTTCAAGGTTAACGCATGCTGAAAAGTTTTGAATTGTGATCGTGTGGTTATAACAGCTTCCAAATTATTTGCTCGCAAAGACTTGGAGCATTTATCGCAGTCACTGGTCGACTCTGTTTTCCCTCAACTATGTTTCTGATTGCTGCGCTTCTGCTTCCTCTTGGTTCATTAGTGTGGAATCGATCGCTAAAATACATGTGCCTTCCTTGTTCCTAGCAATTCATTTGTTTTTTTTTATTCAACGGTCAACTGCTGGCCATCACAACTAGCTGGCACCTAGACCTAATTTGTGATCCCTCTCAAGCCAGATCGAAAATTAATTTTAACGGCTGTTAGTCGAGGTTTGGTTCCACTTGACTGATTTAGATCTGTTCACGACTGCCCTAAAGCAGAGTCGAATGCTAACATCAATGCTAACAACATGTTGATTTCGAAATTGACGCAGGTATGATTTTTAATTGGTTTTTGTTCACCAACTTCCGCTTCTGCACCGCTGCTCGCGAATATCATGAGCAGAATAAAGCTTTTCTACTCCCCNCCCCTCAGTATTTAGGATTTGCTGTTAGACCAGTATCCCTCATGAAATCCCCTCTTTGTTTTGTTTTCCAGTGCTTTTAATCGAATAATGATTTCGAGTATGTCATTTGAACTTCTATCTACTTTTTTAACTGAAGACCGTGACTCCAAGAAAAAAGTGGGCTAGTTTTTGACCTCTTTAGGTGCTTTCTTATCTTCGCGCTGACCACAAGAAGAAGAAAAAACCAGAAATGACAGAAGAAGAAGCAAAGAAATACCAGTCTCAGAGTATTTATGATAACGAGACCGAGTATGCACCGAAAAGAGATAAGGACAAGTACGAAGTTTGAATTTTACTGATTTTCCACTCTGACTTACTGTTTTTGTTTATAGAGATCGTCGCGATAAGGACAGGGATCAAAAGAAAGATCGCAATTATTTCGAGACCAAAGATGACCGAAACAAACGTGATGACCGCGACAGACGTGACAAAGATCGTGATAGGTGCGCGGTATTAACATTTTCTGGATAGCCTCTCTGGTCAATTTTTATCGTTTCAATTCGTAGTTTATGATAAGTTCGGGAGTTAACGACGCGGGCTTACTATAAACTCTCCCACTGGAATAGTCGTCGTCTTCATTATCTCTTCAATCTCGGAAGTGTATACTGAACTTCTTTTTTCACGCTATATCGAAACCCTTGTGTGTTGATCTAGCTCATTCGCTTGATATATCCCATCTACCAAGTGCTGTGTTGAAATATACGTTCACACGTTGTTTATATAGGCGTGGTGGACGTGAACATGATCGTCGTGATCGTGATAAGGATAGAGACCGCGAGCGAGATCGCGAAAGGGAACGCGAACGGGACAAGGAACGCAAGGAACGGGAAGAGCGTGACAAAGAAAAACGTCTAGAAGAAAAAATGGAGAAGAGGAGAAAGGAAGCGGAAGGAGGAGGGTTAGTTTTTTCGTTCCATTTTTGGATTTGGTGAATTATGTATGTTGCTGTCTAGGTATGATGAATGTTATCCTGGAGGATTAGCCGAGATGGCTGGTGGTTGGGATTCAGATGAAGAGGACCTAACGATGATGGACATGGGATCGAAGAAGTCTACTATAAAGCGTTGGGAATTTGACAATGACGACGACTACGAGAAATTCCAAGTGATTATCTTGCAAACTCAGTGGAGGTGACTATGAAAGTATCTTTGCACTTCACAGGGATCTCGCGAAGCGATGCCAAAGGCAGCCTATCAGTATGGTGTAAAAACGGGCGATGGTCGGAAGACCAGAAAAAGTGTGGATGTTAACAAGAAGATTGATAAGGAGTTGAATCAGATCACAAAGTTGATAGAGAAACGCAAAGGAGCATTAGAAGAGGACAGGTAGGCATGTTATATGCTAAAAGCTTTTTCCTTCCATTTTTTTCCAGAAATTTCGGTTAATTTTTCAGTTTCAGAGATTATAAACGTCCGAAGTTCTAGCTGTCGTCATTTTATAATTTTCGTTTTTTTCGCTGTGCGTATTTGCTTGATTGTTTGTCTAATAATATAAACACATTGAATAAAGCATATGGATTCTTTTGTTGTTTGAACATTTGAGACTACAGGGTGACCCATATGAAGTGTGACGGAGAAAAATATCAAAATTATACAGATCAAACCAAATGGGAAACTATTACTCCTACACAATAATCACAAAATTGTGAACAACATATCACATCTCGCATGCAGAATGACCATATTCCGCTTTAATGCAAGCATCCAACCTCTTTCGAAAGTTTTCAAGAATGCGCGCAATCACTTTCATCCCACCTTCTACAAGAGAGCTTTTTTCCCAAGGGTCCAAAGACCTGTGTTTGGAACCGCAGGTTTTTTGCTCTAGAATCGACTATACAGCAAAATCTACAAGATTGAGATCGGGGAATTTGAAGGTCAAACCTGCTCCGCCCCAGAAACCTGAAAGCGTGGTTTCACAACAATGCAGCTTTATCTGTGCGCTGTGGGCTGGTGCCCAATCCTGGGAAAGGTTTAGCTGACGTTCATCGCGTTCCTTTCCACCCAAGCAATCACCGCTTCCTCCAGCCCAGAAGCCCACAAGTTGATTTTTTTATTGCCCGTCACACTTCATGTGGGTCACCCTATATTTTCATTAATGGATGCTGAACATTTCAAAATCATGGTAATACCTCGCTTCCATACGTTTGTAGCTTTTATTAGACCGGCGTAATTCAAAGCAATTGATTATTAAACAAGCCACTAGATGTATCCTATAAGAAAATGAACTCGTAGGTACTGACTTGCTATCCACTGATGCCCTCACTGCTGCAGCATCGCTTTTCGAATGCATTCCTATTGAGTTTTCGACTCTTGCGATTGCTCAATTTTTGAGATTTTTCAGAGAAACATGGCGTCAATTGAGAATTTCAAGCTGCTGGAATAGCGATTTTCGCTGTCTCAGTCCTCTGAGTAAGCACATTCATAGTTCCTGAGTGTTTAAGCAGACTAGTGTGCTTCTACCCAGGTAGACGCGTAGAAACGCAGAGATTTGCATAAATACCTAGATAGGAGCGTTTTTAGCCAAATATCTGCCTAGAAATGTCGTGTACTAAGTGAGCTTGCTGTAAATCATTCAATCCCTACCGGAGGAGTGGTTGAGAGTTTTTGTTTACGCCAACAAAGACTACTAACTACGAAAACACCTATCACGAGCGTGAACTTGAGGTGTAGTGCACAGGAAATTTTACCAACTTGAAGTTGATCATGTGTCGCAAGGTCAAAGTGACCCAAAGCAGAAATTGCCCGTTTCCAATCAAAAAAAAGTGTTAATGTTGCAGTTGCAGTGCTTTCATAAGGCCCGTCGCGCGCGGCAGCGGCGGACGCCGTACTTGCCGTTCTTGCGTATTTCCCACAATCCGATCGATAGTCCAATATTATTCCTGACTGGATTCTGTTATTTATTTATTTATTTCGGTCTGTATTTTTTACTCGCTGCTCTGCTTTCTGCTTTATTCTTAAGAGATAATGGGATCACTATAAGGAGATACGTTCAACAAAAGAAGTTACCTAGTGACGTAATAGCCTCGCCTTTTGTCTGTATTCGAATAACTAACTATTCTCTTCATTCTTGTTAGGGAACTATTCCCTATATTTTGCTGCTAGTAATTATTCGAATAGCTGAAGTAACTAACTGTTCAATACTAACATACTGTTCCGACCACCCAGTTGTCGGGTGGTTGAGGCAAAAGGATTCCCCTCCCTAGCAGACAGCTTCATTACAAAACAAAGAGCTAGGGTCCAACTACTCACACCACTAACTACATTCTTCACTCGGAAACTCCTAATCAAAAACATCGCGTTCTTCTAGAAAAACGAAAAGCGATAGAACGACAAATTAAGGAAATGGAAATGTCAATATTATCGAACTAAGCACAAGCAAATTTGCATTACCGATAGTTGTGATTAAGAAAGGTCCCAACAAGGACCTATGGCGATTCACCGTCGATTATCGGCCAGTAAATCCCATCACGGAAACTGAGATATACTGCAAACCTCATATGCAGGATATATTAGACTTTGTAGGTGGCAAAGAACTATACACAGTTCTCACCTTCAGAAGAGGTTTCTTCCGAATACCATTAACTTTAAAACTTTTCATCCTTTCTAGAGCTATACCACTTCACTGTAACAAGGTCTCAAAGGTGCTCTAACTACGTTTCAACGCGTTGCCAATAGCCTCGTAAGAGGATGTCGTGACTTGCGTACGACTCTATTAAACGGTTGCGCCTGGTCTGTGCGCGGGTTCTAAAGCGCCGAATACGCAGCCAATCGTATGCCCCATATGGCTCGCAGTCGCGCATAAAAAATTCAGTCTCTCGTCTTTTCCCGTCACGGTCGACCCGGTCGCCTCAGAAGCGTATCGGTAGTGTCATTCCACGCGCCGTATTCACAAGAGAAAGCTGCGTACCGCTTATCGTCGTCACACCGTCCATGCTGTATTCCGCGCTGCTACCGCAACAAGGTCAACACCACTACGAGGAAAACGTGAGGGCATGGATACCCGAGCATGGAGCGGACCGCGTACCCCTTCGTTAGTCTAAGTCTAGGGTTCGACCTCTTTCTTTGGCGTAGTAGGCGTAGGACGTCATGAGTATTGTTGTTCATTTTATAGCATATTGTGTTCGACGTATAAACATGAATTTATTGCCAACATGATTTATGTGCTTCTCTCATGTCTCTATCGGAGTCAGAGAAACTAGGAACTATCATGTATTCATTGGCCAATATGTCGGTGTGCTAAGGCTTAGCAATGCTGATAGTAGTCGCCAAGGGTAAAGTTCGTCATGGAGGTGAGAGATGGTTGACAAGAGTTCCGCGTAATCGTCGTACAAGTGGAGCTTAGGAGACAAGTATTATTTTCATTAGCGCGCACACGCGCGGCAGGTGGAACTCGGCGAGCATTCAAGTCATAGTTATAGCAGTGAAGACATAATCATAGCAAGCCAATCGGTGGACCAGCACCTCAGCGGTCTTGAAAAAATCTTTCAACGCATCTAAGCCTTTAGCATGAAACTAGCTCCGGAAAAATGCTAATTTTTTTCAGACGAAAGTGCAATATTTAAGTGTCCTCATCAGTACAAATGGCACTCATCCAAACCCGGACAAAGTAGCCAGTATCGCCAACACCTCACGACAAACAAACAAGGAGGCAATTGAGTTCTTCCTTGGAGCGGCCTCCTATTTTCGAGGCTATATTCCCCGCTGCTCCATTATACAGCACCTACTGCTCAAAAATCACCATATGAATGGGCCGAGGCTCAGGAATAAGCATACTCAGCCCTCAAGAAGATCGTTCCAAATACCGCACAATACAAAATGGGCTACGATCTACACAGTAAAATATACTGACCTTTCCACCGTAGATCAGGTCCTTTTGTGTGACGACACAGTTCGTTCTAAATTCACAAGACTCACACCTTAGTGAAAAGGCTCTTCCGTGATTGAAAAGATCAATCGCCCTAACATAATAATAACTAAACTTTTAGGTCGCTCAATGTGACAAGCGGGTTATATTAACAGTCTACGACTGTATTTTCCTCGTTCAATGCCGTATTTTCCTCGTTCAATGCCACCTGAAGCTTCTAACACAAATATCACACAACCACTTAAACCACCTGTAATAGGAGCATCAAGTGACATTGAACAACCAGTAATACGACAGTCTCTTCATTTTTAAGAGAAGCAACAACGCTCAACAATTTAATATGATTGAGCTGAAACATGTGCTCTGTTCATGTTAACATGTTTAACATGTTCAGTAAAAGTATTGTTCTTTGTGGAGACTTGTGCAGTTACAGTGTTGGAGTTTTAGTTGATGTACCTAAAGTCTATCGACATGGGGCATGTCCCTTGGAGTTTCGAGCTCTGCGCCACGGCTCAGTTTTTCTGCAGCACCACACTTCCGGGTTAAACATCTATTTCTGCGTTTCAACCATTACGGTTTGATGTATTATTATATGAGTATCTCTTGGGGCAGCAATTAGCTTAACATTTATTTTGAAAGGCTCGCGACTGCACAGCGTTGTGGCTGACGGGATGCACTCGCTGCATCCCAAGACGCTCGGATAGCAGGCACAGCTTTATTGCGTGCATGGCGTGTGCTTTCAGGGAGTTGAAGTACCACTCCTTGATTGCATCTCCCCAAAATAGTGTGAACCTATGTGAATATTTTCTGAAAAAACCGTGTTGAATGTCGAACGCAAACATCACCGGAGATGCTCCTGAGCGAGTTGTTCTAGACTTTGAAAGAGCAGCTATAGAAGCAGCTCTCAAGGTCTTTCCAAGGTCATCTGTGGAACGCTGCTCATTTCATCTTGCGCAGGGTTTGCATCGCAAGAGAAGATTTCTTGGGGTCGAGGAGATACATCATGAATTAGAAAGAGAGGAGCCACTCACGGAGTGTTGGGAAATAGTGAAAGGTACGTGAAGAAAGAAATTCTTCGATTGATGGCGCAAACATTCTCTTATTTAGAAGTGATGCTTCTACCCGACCACTGGTATAACGGGTGACGGCCCTCCAAACTCACCCATCCCCACGGATCACGACGCTTATAAAAAATGCGAAGTTTTTTTGACTACTTCCAAAGATACGTGGATGCGAAGTTTCTTCAAGGATCTTTGGTGCAGATGGGACCTTGAGGAACTGCGGACCACGATTTTACCAGAAGCGTTTCACAGGTCATCAATAGCTACAGGGTCTTTTGAGTGTATGATGTACAAGTTTTTCAGACGGCTCATGAACGTCATCCACCCGCCTTTTAGCGTACTCATTGAAGCTTTCTGCAAGCTCAGCTATGAAGCAAGAGCGACACTAACACACCTCTGAGAGGTTGCATTTTCATTGTTAGCATGCTCATGATATGCTGATCGTTTCTCGATTGTATAAAATGCAAAACGCGAACAATGCCAAGAAGCTTCGAAAACGAGATCAGGAAAGAAGAGCAAGGATAGCAGAAGAAATAAGACTGTAGGTGTTTTCGTACCGCACATTAAATACATGCATTGCATTTCACTGCTTCTGCAGGTTTGGAGAGACATACCGGAATGGACCAAGTGAACAGAAATAGAGCAGTTCTGCAGGAAAATGTCTAGATACGTAACCAATAAGACTTCATGCTTTCCAATGAGATATAGAGGTTTTGAATGTTTACGTTGTCTTGTCTTTACCGCATATTATTTCAAAATATGTAATAATAACAACGATAAAGTTTCCAGTTCATAAAAGCAATATCAGTTTACTCAGACTGCCAGAGAGGTCATCAGCCAACCAATTAAGGAAAGTCACCCCACAGGGGGGAGGGACGGTACATTCGTGCGATTTGAGCTGCGCGCGGCAAATTGCGCGGCGAAATTCGTGTCCATTCGAACGACCGTGGCGCCTATTATTGGGGCACAAACTCGAACTAGAGTGATTAGTATGGTCAGCTGAACCTACAAATCTACCCTACTTCAAATTTGGGCCCAATAATAAGCGCTAAAGTCGTCAGAATCGCTATAAATTTCGCCGGGCAATTTGCATCAATCGCACGAATGTACAACACCCCCTCACAGGTGACTCCAGTAGACTCAGAACTGAATACTGCCTTCCATGTTAGGTGCGCGCATAACTAATAGGCTTCCAGCGGGTGAATGTCAAATACCAATAAGTGTAACTGTTGCCGGTTGGTCCTTGTCGACGGTCCCTGTATGATTAGTGGCATACCGATCGTATTCTCAAACAAGAGTGGGAAGAGTTGGCGATTCAAGGATTCTCGGCTTGTAGTGATCCGTGAACAACCGGTCGGCTGTCATTAGATTTCTCCATACTGCGTAGCACGAGATTAGTAATCTCGAGTGGATGCGCGAGAGATTGACAACAGTGTAACCACCGCACATGATTTGTAATCGTCGAATGGTTACACCAATCTGTCGTATATCATGGACAGTAGAAAGAGGATTTGAGAGTTATTGCTTCCCAAAGGCCAGGCTCGTGTAGACTACTTGTTCTTGTTTGCATTAATGCAGGACCTGGTAGCAGTAAAAAGAGACGTCTTTATGGTGACTGGGTCCTTTAATCAACGGTTTGATTTACCCGTTATATGGTCAATTTTAGGTAAATTCAAAGTCCTGAATCGGGTTGTCAGTAGGCTCGGTGGCAAGGCGCTCTGCTTGAAACCATCCTTCAAAAAAAACTCGCCAATTTTCCAGGATTATGTGCCACTCACGTGTGACACCCTAACCTCAATTTAAGGTAAAACAATTCGCCTAGTCCCATAATGAGGGTGCATTTATTGGGGTAATATTGTATTTTAGTAGGCCATTATGAAAATAAAAGAGGACTCGCCGCCAGGACCGTTTTTTTTTTGAAAGGCACGGTTCGCTATAAGAAAGGTTACTGAGTTCTTCCTTCAGGAATACTCAGCGCCCCCATGGTTGGTAGAAGGGACCCTCTCGTTCCCACAAACTCGGCGCTTAGGGCATAGTAGAAGCCCTGTTGCTGCCGTAATTGGCTTCAACGCCCCTCGATCGATGTCACGTTAGGCGAGTGTCGAGACACTACAGATTGAACTGTTCGTTCCAGGGCCGACACACAATCAGCTGATCTTCTCCTAGAGGCTGTGAAGGGTGAGCTACTTTTGCTGTTACTAGGGTTTTTTTTGTTTACTTATGCTTATAAGTGAATGAATTTTGCTTATCATAGTCTGTTATTCGCACCAGGGCCCACACGTACGCAGTGAGACACATTGTATGGCTCGTACGGACGCCCCACTCTTCTTCATTTCTNACGAGATTTGTAATCTCGAGTGGATGCGCGAGATTGACACCGCACATGATTTGTAATCGTAGAATGGTTACACCAATCTGTCGTATATCATGGACAGTA